GACCAGTTGGAGTCCTGTGCTCCAGTTCAAGTTATGGTTACTTCATCAAGCGTTGCTCCAAATGAGTCTGCTGATACTGGAAGTGCAGAGTGCAAGCCCCGGTCATCTGATGTAAATCCGTGCTGTAGTAAGTCAGAGTCAAGGGTGAAGTTCGTGAATCAAGGAATGAGCTCTCAAATTGTTGAAGACAAACTTTGTGAGACACAAGTAGGGCTTGATACTCCAACTTACAGTTCTTTATGTCGTGATGTATCACCTAGATTACGAGGAGGTACGTCATTAGATTCAGAAAAGTTTAAAAAGGGCGTGCAGCACGAATGGATTTCTACTCCTATTACATCACCAATTAGTTTCTTCACTCCGCCTTGTGTGAAGGGAAGTGGTTTTAGTAAACACAGTCCCGAGTATATTCTTAGAATTGCTGCTAAGACCTTCCCAAACACACCTTCTATATTTCGAAAGAGAAAGCCCAAAGCCCAGTCACATGTGTTTCCTAATAAAATAGGAAAGTTGAATGAGGATGATTTCAAGGATACAATTATAATATCTGGTGAATTGGAAAGAACTGATAACAGTATGGAACAGTCTCAATTTCATGATAGAGATTCATGTGAGAGTCCTGCTTGTCAAGGCAATAGCAACCCTGGGCCTAATTGTACAGCTTTTAATGCATCTCCTCCATACCGGTTAAGATATAAAAGAACTACTGTTTTTAAGTCGGTGGAGAGACAACTTGAGTTGACATTCGATAAAGAGAGGCATGAAAGTAAGACAAAAGCTTTGGATTTATCATTGAACGGAAGCTCTCCTGTTGAAGACTGCTTGAATACGACAAGGATGGGAGTCACATAGCGCTCAAGCTGTAAGTATGGCATTGCATTTTGAATTTTATAGCGTGGTGTGGTCATGCTTCTCTATTGTGGTTTTCTACATTTGAAATATCACGATAAACATCATCACTATCGAAACTTTGCAATCACACCATATGCATAGAATCATGTTTCTCTATCAAGTAGCTTTTTGCTCTCTCATTCAAGTTTATCCTATTGATTTTCTCCATTGGCTTACCAACAACATCAAACAAATTAAAAATGCAAGAAATCCACTTTATATCATTTATTTCAGTCTCTCTTTCCTGTCTTATAGGTTGGGAGAAATGTTCTTTTGAAGTTGGCTCTGTGTTTCCCAAGCAATGGCATCCAAATTGGGGATCGTTGTCCCAGCAGACCTAGAAAACCGGCTAAGTCGTATTTTTTTTTTATCAGGGGCACCTTCAATACCATTGCTCGATCATGTTGCAGATATGGTAATCTTACACTAGTGGTGGTATCAAGACATAACAAAATCTTAGAGCTGCAGATTTCCTGCCTGTCTTTTTGAAGAATATTGGCTCGGTATTTTGTAGACTGACTCCAATAGAATGTTTTTAAGCTGAGATAGAGAGATTGAAGGGGTTTCTGAGATCTTTCTCTTTTCCCCCTCATTTGCATACAAGACAATGCTAATACTATATTCTTCAGTCCATGTTGGTTGATTCTCTTTGCCAGCCTGACTGAATAAAATAAAATTTGAAGGGTATAACAAGTTACTACACAATACAAGTGACTTAAAATGAATTAAATCAATTCAAATTAAGTTTACGGACCCAAATGAAAATTGAAAATCCCCGTGACTTGAAAATTGTGTTCTACCTCCTGCTCCTTTGTTACCCTCAAGTTCAAACATGCGGTTGCAAAATGCTATCTCCTGCTCCTTTGTTACGTAGCAATAGAAGCCCGCCATGCCACTTCGGCAGAGCTTTTTCGTCTTCTCTTCGCTCTGCTTGACAGGGGCGCTAGTGGACATGGGGAGGGGGCAGGCAAAGCGTGTTCGTTGGTAATGGAAATACAGATAGCACTACTTCGCCTCTTTGTTGGACCACTTGCGCAAACAGTGATCTCTGACCAAAACCAGGACTGGATTCTGGGTGAACAACTTTTCCGGCCATCACCGACAATCGGCTGTCATCGATTATCTTTTGCATCAAGATTGGTACTAAAATGTTCTCTTTTTTCTCCTATGATTGAGTTTCATGGAAACTCACACAAATTGACGGAACTAAACCAAAAAAATCTATCATCTTTAGATATTTGGAGATTTTCTTAAATTTGAGGGATTAATGAATGTTTGTTCAAAAGTCTGAAAGGTGCGAAACATTACTTCGAGATCATAGTATTAATACATTGAACTTTTAAATAATTTTGTTGATTTTGCGAGTGTTTTGTGGAGAATCAATCCTAAAAGAAGAAAAAGGAGTGGAACATGAACGTTTTGATATCAATCTTGTCACGAAAAATGACTAATAATGGGTGGTGATTAGTTGTCGTGGTGGTTTAAAAAGTGCAATGTCAAAAATGGATGGCATAATGTCAAAATTAGTCTCCAACGTTTATCAAAATGGTCATTTTGCCTCATATTCTATTTTTTGAAGCATTTTAGCCCCCCAACGTTTCATCTTAGGGCAAAAAAGCCCCCAACATTTGTCAGAATAATCACTTTGTCCTTTATTCTTTTTTAGGGCATTTTAGCCCTCAGCATTTCATTTTAGATTAAAAATTGTTCCTATTTTGGAGCATTAATCATGTGTTAACTGTTAGTTTTCATCTATAGAGGGAGCTTTTTGCCTCAAAGTGAAACGTTGAGGGCCAAAATGACCATTTCGGTAAACGTTGGGGTTATTTTTTGCATTATGCCAAAATGTATTTGTTTAAAAGTTTGGTAACAAAATCTATATGTCCCTAAATTCCAATGCCTAAAATGATTTCATTTTGAGAATCAATAGTCATTGCCAAAACAATATCATTTCAGGAATTAACAGTCGTCGTCAAACGATGTCATTTGTCCACTCATCACTGTGATGAAAAAGATTGCCACTCATTTTATTCAGTGCTATAATTGAAGAAATTAAAAGTCCAATGATATAAACGATACACGACATAAAGTTCAATGATATCTTATATAGTTTGCTCAGGTAAAATACACCAAATATCACTAAACTTTAGGCCGTGTATCATTTATATCATTGTAACACTAAACTTTGATTTTAACTTCATGGTGACATGGACATATCTTTCCATCAGTAAGATAAGGTGGACAAAATGATGTCATTTTGTCGATGACTATTCATACTCAAAACGATATCGTTTTAGATATTGAATTTTAGGGTGTATCGATTTTGTCATTGACTTTTTAAACAATTCCATTTTTGGCACTACACCTTTTAGTCATCACCGCCAGCTAATCACCGCTCATCATTGGTCATCTTTCTATGTAAGATCGTTACCAAATTGTTGACATTTCACTTCTCTTTCTTCTTTTAGGATTGATTTTCCATGAAATCAACTCAAAATTGACGAAAACACATTTTAAACTTTAACGTGCTAATACTTTGATCTCTTTCGATAATTATCCGATAATGCTAATTTTAAGGTGTGTTGTTCATTTTCTCGAAATAATGTTTTTCATCATTCGAATTTTCAAACAAACACCTCGAATCCCTCAAATCTAAGAAAGTCTACAAATCCCTAAAAATGGTATATTTTTTTATTTAATTTCGTCGATTTTGAGTGGGTTTTGTGGTAAACCAATCATAGGAGAAGAAATATGAGTAAAATGCAAATGTTTTGGTATTGATCTTGTTGTGAAAAACGATCAATGACCGATAGTGATTAGTTATCTGAATCAATTAAGAATTGGGTAAATCAGGATTTTAGGGATTGAGTTTATTTAAGGAGGGGAGTGAGCAATCACAGTGGAGGGTGGTCTCACATGTCTATAGAGTTTTCAAGTCAGGCAGCTAACATGTCAGATCGATATTTTGTGACCCAAAGCAACGGTTGTTAACGTCGAGTGATCAATTAGTTATAAATCGACAATATAGTGACCAAATCGTTAGTTTTAAAACATTAGTAAAGAAAAGAGAAACTTACTCAAACATGAGTGACCATTTATGTAGTTTACCCTGGAAATAATCATAAAACAGTTAATTAATGGCGGCTAAAATAAGAAGGTCAGTTTACAATTTCAATCCCTTTAATATATTAGAATTCAAAATTCCGTCCCTATATTTTAATTCCATTCTTTACTCACCTACGGCAGGAGACAGGCACAATACCAGCACGATACTCGGTGATCTCGAGGAACACAGGCATGGCGAGGTCAAAGTGAAGGCGCGGAGCGTTGCACCATCCGCCATTGTCACTCGGGAGACCATAGTTTAGGAGGGCAAAACCAGTTTCGTAATGAAATTATTAACAATAAATCCCTCAACTATGTTTCGTCATTGTTATGTAAATACGTTGAGGCACCTCAGCACAAATTTCTTGACCTTTGGTGTAGCTTTCAAAACTGGAACTGCTTCATGCTAAGTTGAAAGAGATGATGATGCCTTTGCCTTTTAACATCATTTTGGAATCAATATTTCTACCGTGTTGTTTTCTGCTATGCTTGTCACCAAGCGAAAAGGCACGGAAATTTCAGTATTTGCATATGTATATGCGATCTACAGGAATCTTTAGATACCATTTTATAACTAAGATATAACAGAATCCTCTATCGGAAACAAAAGAATGAACCTTTAGATTTCGCAGCTGAATATTGCTTTGCTGCAAACTTAATTCTTTTTTGCTTGCAACTTTACGCTATTAAAAGGAACATCTTTCCGAAACAACCTTAAACTTTACACATCTTTGAGCTTCTCTCTCTTGATAAGCTTAAAACACATACATTTGTCTGAACTAATACGTTTATCATAACAAGTCAAGTTCCTTGTATTTTCATGCATCAAGCTGACCCTTTTGATCTGCAATATATTATATACAACTCCTCCATCATATGAAGAGAAAATGATTATATTATGTCTCATATGTTATATTCATATCGTGAGCAATACGACCTTTAAAGATCGATTAAGACAACATTGATTAAGCCTTCTGAAACAGGGGAAAATATGATCTTTTTAATCAAAAAAAGGAGATTTTCCTTCATTCATTTTATTAGATGTATATTTTATATAGAAATATACATCATCTTCTAAACAATAACAAGGAATGGGGACAACAATTAGATCTAAGCTGTCACGGATGTCTCGACTGCAACCTGGCTGGGATAACTGACTTCGGATTTCCTACCAGTTTCCCACAGCTCTGGTATTGCTTGCTTGATGTTGTGAATGCTTTCTAATGCATAATCTGCACCTTTAGGTCTCTGGGAAATGCCGATCTGCGTAAATTTTTAATGAAGAACAATGAGTGTTAGTTTCATGGTCGTTTTGAGGAACTGTGCATGTTAAGTAAAACAAGGTTTTCAAGGACTTGCCAGCACGGTGTGAAGACCGAGGTTTTTTCCGGCCTGGGTGTTGCGGACGCTATCCTCGAAGAACAACTGAAACAACAAAAATCATATGAAGGAAAACATTAGTAGACCGTAAAAACGCAACAAGTTACGAAACTAGTGACAGTGAATTATCGATCATCTTACTGTTCTTTGAGGGTTGATTTTGGCGATCTTGAGAGCACGCTCTATTGCGGATTCTTGCGGCTTGCAAACAATGGGCGTCTTGGGTAATGTTGCACCATTGTTGGGATGCGCGAAATGATCAATTATGTCAAAAATTTGACGACTGCTATGAGCATCGGTTGTAGTAGCGGTGGCGGATCCTAAGAACTCGATCTCATCTTCATCGTCAGAAACTGTGTTCTTATGAGTAGGATTGAGAGTCTCGAAGCAGATAATCCCTTCGAAACAGTCTTCCAATCCGAGTCTACTAAGAGCTTTAACGGAATGGACCCTGTCTGCATTTGTGAATATCTAAAACAACAAGAGACGTCAAGTCCTGTTAGGAGACAATTAGATAAAAAGAAACATGATCAATACTTGCTTATGCATCAAGCAACCAATATGCTTACGATTTTTCGAAGAGGCAAAGTCTGTAATAAACTCTTCAATGAAGGATCTGGTTTTAGGTTCTCATATGGAAGTCTTCCATGAACATAACTATGAAACTCATCATAGTCAAAGTCATAACCAACAGCCTGCAAATAAGATAAAAAAAGTATATTAATTTTTTTTACCTAATGAAAAGGATGCTTGAAAAAGGAAACGTTTAATGGAAGTAAATAATACCGTAAGGCCAGCCATTGATGTCCCATAATTCTTATACAAGAGGTCGGACAATTCAACAACTTTGTCCTTTTCTACGCCTAGTTTTTCAACCATGTAATCTGGAGGAAAAAAATGACAAAAACATCAGATTACCATGGAATTTTGATAGTAAAAATGGTAGCAGCCAAGTATCAGAATATAAATCCTTTACCTCTAATATTCTTCCCACACTCTCTCGCAAGACCAGAACTTTTTGGATAAAGGGTATCATCAAGATCTGCAAATTCAACCAAATTGCCACCTTTAATATATTTGCAGTTTCAGTTGAATTAGTGTAAAATCATCATATTTCTTCTCTTGTGTTTTTCAAGTAAAGGAGCTTACCAAACAAAAGGCAATCATATTTAGGCCTCTGAGTTAGACTGTATTTATCCTCGTATTCCATTTTTTAACTTGATCAAAGGTACCTAAATTAATCAATGGAAAACAAATTAGCTTTCAAGTCCAAGCAAGCAAACCGGTATCAAAGAACATGTATCCAATAATGCAAGTAAAGGCACTTTCAAATATTAAAAAAAACAGCTAAAATGATGAACTTTAAGGTATTGATTACACCCACAATTTGTTTATGGAAGAAAAAGAAAACAACTTTCCGTCAAAGAGAGAAATGAAACATCTCATATGTTTCTTTAGAGAACCCCAAAATGGAAAGCATTTTCATGAACAAAAACCCAGAAAGTTGAAACCTTCCCCCCCCCCCCCCCAAAAAAAATCACGACAAAGAAATGGTTGAAAGTGTCTAAACCAAAGGAATTCCAAGAGAAATTTTAAGGCTGCAATGAATGAATATCATACCGGTTTCAAAAACAAGGAAAGCTAATCAAAGGAAGAGTATTTGAAAAAGAGGTTTGTGCTAATGCCGTCAATGAATATCAGAGAACGAAAGCAGAGGGGGAAGGAGAACGGAGGTCGAAATGGGTTTTTATAGGCAAAGAATGATGGCAGGCTATTCAAGTTAATCACGTTTAATTAACTTGTGTTGAAAAAAATCAATATGAAATGTGTAGAAGAAAGTAATAGGAAGCAACCCAAAGCGAAAAGGCAAATCCTTTTATGGAAAAATAAATAAAGCAAAACAGAGTTAGATGTCCTGGTCTTTACATTTTGCTGTTTTGCTTTCCACGGTCCAAATTTATTCCTTTCTTGATCGTTACAGCAATATCCAGGAACTTTGCTGCAAATTCTAATGCAATGGGATATAAATAAAAGGTGAAATGATAATTCTCTTTTAAAATTCTGAATAAATATTATTTTATAATTATTTAAATAATAATAATTTTTATTATTAAATTATTTTTGATTATTTTAAATTTTTATTTTTATAAAATTGAGGTAATTGATAAAAATAATAAAGTTTTAATACTTTTATGCTTTTTCTTTTTACTAATATCGTATTTTAATAATTTTCAACAAATTAGAAATATATAATATATATTTTATCATTCTATATTTTTAAATTATTTATTTATTTTTCAACTTTTGTACAAAAATAAAGTAACTTACTCAACATTAATAATAAAATAAAATAACTATGTCAGATTAATATATTCGTTGATTTTTTTATCAATTCTTTTAATCTTATAAAGATATTTAAACGTTTAAGAGTTAAAAATGTAAAAAATTAAGAGCTAAATCATTTTTATTAAAAGTTTGAGAGCAAAAAAAATCATAAAATCTAAATAAAATTAAAAATAATTTTAAAGTATAGTATTTAATCTTCCTATACTTAATATAATTTTATTTTTTTTAATTTTATAATTCAATCTCACATTTAGGATATGTATAAATTTAGTCAATACTATTCACTTAATAAATTTAAAGTGTAATTAAAAACTTAAATTATTTTTTTAAAACATATTTTTATTATTTAAAGATAATAATTAACATTAGTATTCATGGTGTTGTATAGAGCTGCTGCTGTGTTGTTTTTCCCAGGTTTGCAGAGACATGATGATGCTGTTTTATGTGCATATCTTGTGGTGTTGCCGGTTTTTGTATGCTTTTTATCTGCTACCCATCGTAACTAATTGGGTTGTATGTGTTGATTTTTTTTATGCTGGAATGGGGATGGTTGATGGAATGGTGTATGGATTGTTTTATGTATGAGTGGTATGGTTATTTGATCTTTACTACCTCAAGGTACACTCTTTTTTCTCCATTTAAGATTAAGGAGATTTTTTTAATGAGATCCTTGAGGTGATGTACTTTGTAATTCATATAATACAAAGTACGCTCTTTCAAAAAAAAATAATTAACATTAGTATCAATTTAAATTTACTAATAATATTAGAAAATGAAAATTAAACTATACTAAATTAAAATAGATAGATTAATTTTCAAATTTCAATTCAATAAAAGGACTAAAATAACAATTAGACCGTTTTTAATTATATTTGGTTTGGTGAGTTGTAAACCCGTTCATTGGGATCGTGTGAGTTTGGCACAACACGAAAGGACCAGAAAAGAGGCAGTGCCTAAGAAAACACATCATTTAATATTCTTGTATAAAGGGGAGATGCCAGTTGTATATTCCACGTGGCATCCAATCAAGAGACTTATTGCCACTAAGACTTTCCATTCATCTACTCAATTTCATTATTCAATCCGTATTATACACAAAATTAGAACTATTCTTTTCTGTCAATCTAATTATATTTAATTCACATCAATCAACTAACAAATTTTAATTATCTGAACTCATATATAATAATAATAATAATAATAGAAAACTTAAAATATGTCAAATTAAAATAGCATTTAAAGAAATTGAATTTTCAAGTTTAAATCTTGTGGAATGAAAACCATTATTTGTATCTTTTTTTCATTTTACAAAAGTTTGCGGGTTAATAATAATCATAATAGACTTAATGGTTCCTAAGATTCTTAAAGTTTTGAAGAAAAAAAGCAATTCAACTCTTGATTTTTTTACTTAATTAAACCTTTAAATTAAAAAAATTAATGTGATTTTTTAATTGATGAAAATTATTATCGACTGATATAACAATAACGTGATAGTTTTTGTAAGAGCTCAAAAATATTAATTAATGTGACCCTTTGATTGTTGAAAATTATTATCGACTGATATAGTATTAACACGATTGTCTATATGTAATGATTGCTTGATAGAATAATTTAATTGATTTTTCTACAATTTTTGAAGATTTTGTTTAATATTTTAAAAAATAAAAAAAATAATTCAAAAATCAAATGTAAAAATTACCAAATTATTATAAATATAAATGTTAGAATTTTACTAAAAATTAAATTACTACTTAAAACTTAAAAAAAATATTAAAATCATATAAATTGTTAAAATTGAGGTGTTCTTCTCAATCGTCTAAATTACCAATGCGAAAATCTTTAAATGATTAGACATTTTCAATTTCAATTCGTCTTAACAACTTAGATAATAGAAAAGAACACCTCAATTTCCTATTACACAATTGAATACTTGCAATCTGTAGTAGGTTTGAAAAAGAATATTTGTTGTTTTACTTATTCGAATAAAAATTATTCAAAAATAATAATAAACTCAAGTTGAAAACTTTTTTTATGGGAGTATTTATTTTTTAATACTTTATAAGTACATTAATTTTTTTATTTCTTAATTATTAATAGTTTAACACTTAAAATTTTTGGGTATTTTTTTTAAAAAGTAACGGTGTTTATTTGTCCTCCTAATTTTAAGGCTTCGCCTTAATTAAAAATTTAAATACTTGTAATATTCTTTTAAAAGATTTCAATACTTTTAAATACTTTTATATTTTTACTTAAAAATTAAATAAACCTCAAAAATTTTAAAATAATCAATAAAGTCTTTTTATGATGTCATTACTTATGGTCAATAACAGTTTTTGTTCCCGAAAGGATCACATTTGTTTTTTTTTTAAATTTTTTTAAAAATAATTAAATAAAAATATATTTTTAAAAAGTTTGAAAGCCTCGAAAAATATTAGCCCGTCGTAATATAAAAAAATTCTAACATGTTAAAGGATTCTATTTGTTTTATGGTAGCATTTTTGTTTGATGAATCTAAATTTGTACTTATAAATGACATTTAGCTGCATATTAATCTTTATATAATTATAGTTCATGGAGAGATCGGTTTGAAAATTTCAACCATCAGAATGAAGTACTATTAAGTTTTATAGAAATGCGAACCTATAATAATAATAATAACATGATTATACAGTTCCATGTAGTATGTATCATAAACCCACGTCAGCTGCCCAAAATATTACGTAAATACATCCATCACTTATTTAAATCTTTATACATTATATGTTCATTTTAGGGTTTCATTTATTAATAAATAAATTACTTTTAAAATATATTAATCAATAATATAAATATAAATATAATATAAATAAATATATATAAATATAAATATAATAAAATATATAAATATAATATAAATATAAATATAAATATAAATATAAATATAAATAAATATAATATAAATATAAATATAAATATAAATATAAATATAATATATATAAATATATATAAATATAAATATAAATAATATAAATATAAATATAAATATAAATATAAATATAATATAAATAAATATAAATATAAATATAAATAAATATAAATATAATATAAATATAATATAAATATAAATAAATATAAATATAAATATATATAATATAAATAAATATAAATATAAATATAAATAAATATAAATATAAATATAAATATAAATATAAATAAAATATAAATATAAATATAAAAATAAAATATAATAAATATAAATATAATATAAATATAATATATAATATAAATATAAATATAAATATAAATATAAATATAAATATAAATATAAATATATAATATAAATATAAATATAAATATAAATATAAATATAAATATAAATAAAATATAAATATAAATATAATATAAATAAATATATATAATATAAATATAAATATAAATATAAATATAAATATAAATATAAATATAAATAAATATAAATATATAAATATAAATATAAAAATATAAATATAATATAAATATAAATATAAATATAAATATAAATATAAATATAAATATAAATATAAATATAAATATAAATATAAATAAATATAAATATAAATATAAATATAAATATAAATATAAATATAAATATAAATATAAATATAAATATAAATATAAATATAAGCACGAACTGATTGACTCAGTGATTAAGGGACTTATAATTCTCTCTAGAGATCACAAGTTAGAGCACTGGTAAGGGTATGAGCGTTCATTGTCAATTGGGTGAGAGTATTTAAACAAATATTGCCTTGTGTTTACCTCAGATGTATATAAAAATTATTATTAAATTTTGATAAATAATTAAAAAAATATTGAAAATCGTTTGAATATATCTGATAAAGTTGTTAGATCATAATAATAGCCATTAGTACTAAAAGAAATAATTATATTTTATCAATAATCAATTGATTAATGGTATGAGACGTTGGATTTCTTAAAGAAAATTAAATAATTAAATTTTAATATTTATGAATAAAATAATTAAGTTAAAATAAACATTACATAATAAATCTATATAAAATTTTATTTAAATTAGTTGATCAATAAGTTAATATGAATAGTAAAAAGATATATTTTAATAGATTATTTAGAGTCATCAAATAGCAAATGAAAGACAAAATCTCGTTATATATCGGGAAAATACTTCCATGAAACGGAATATAAAATGATGCATGACAACACAAAATGCTTCCTACTTGAGAAAGTCCAACCAAAATATAATTAAAAATATAAATAAATAATGACGAGATGTGCATAAAATTGGAGGTAATGCCGTCAATGATACAACTGAAAATGATTGACACTAATGTGGGTCACTATTGACCTCCAATTATTT